AAGAAAGGACTTGTATTGCTGAAGATCCTCCGTAAGAGTTTCTACCAGAAACAAACAAACAAGCAGATACGTAACATTATATTTCCACCAGGATAATACACTGAATGAGGTAGTTAGTGTATGGACTCTGTCCTTTCTTTAAATGTTTTTATTGTACGAGAACAGTGCAATCGTTCTTTGTATCAAACAAATTAAATTGTATGTCTCTCCCCTTGTCGGCAATTCTTAAGTCCCCTTTTAGCTCGGCTCCCAGAAAATGTAGGAGCATACTTACGCCACTGGATAGATATTTATATTGTTACGTATCTGCTTGTTTGTTTGTTTCTGGTAGAAACTCTTACGGAGGATCTTCAGCAATACAAGTCCTTTCTTGATTAAACCAGTTTATCTTTCCTCGATACAAACTTTTAGTACACAGAAGTTCCACAATCAGTATGTTTCTCGTTACTTTAAACTTAACCGCTTTTATAATACGCGCTATAAATCACAGCGATTCATAATCTCGATAACTTCGCTCTCGAAGAGTGCAAAACACACACTTTATGGCTCACTAGCTCGAAACTAACAGAATCATAAATTACACGGAACTCAAAGTAACTATTGCTCTCTCTTCATACATATATCCTCTAGCTTTCTCTGCCAGGCTTATATACTAACGAAGAGAGCATCTCGATCACACTCGGACTTCCCCGATCATTCGAGAAACTCAGCAGCGTCACGTGACTTCCGCTGTTGTAACAATATGAAAGATGTCTTCACTGAGTATCTTTTTATGGATTTTATTGGTTTAACTGTAGTGTCGAATGTCAAAATTAACATCTTTAAAGCTGGTTATTTGAATTTTAAGTACTGATTTAGCTTGTAGTAATGGCAGTAAAGTTTTTAAAAACAACAATTTTGGATTATTTAGTAAAAGTAATGTAACAACAAATTAATTTCTTCTTTAACGTTTCCCACAGCCATTTTCACCTGAAGGCCTAGCTTCGAATATTAAATATTTCAACAGAAACTACTGTAAGCTTAATTCACTGATAATGTTTAACAGCAATTTCCTTGGTTGATTTCAAATATGAATAACTTACTAATTAGCTTACAGAAGTACTGGATAACTTAATCCGGCTGTCTCGCTCATCAACAACTCGTTCATTCACCCACACTGAAGTTTGAGAACAGCTTGAATGGGTAACGAAAAAACGTTATTATATGTTTAACATAGTATCAAATGTACAATCATTTGACAAAGCTTTGTCGAAGCATTGTGTATTTGTTGCTGTGTTAAACTTGTAATAAAGAGACAGATAATTGAGTCAAGCGAGCTGTAGAGACCGTAAGTAAAGTGCGTGAATCTTTGTGAATTATAACGTGTGTTTATAAAAGTAGTTAACTTTAAAGTGATTGTGGAAATTAAGTATATTACAAAGTTTGTAACGAGAACGAATAAACTAGTTTTAATTCAGAAAGAACTCCTTTCGCTGGAATTTCTCAGAAATAATTTTTACGGGAAATTAACAAACAAGCAGATACATAAATTGATGTTAGAGAGTGGGAAAGCAAAAAAAAAAAGAAGAACGAGAAAATAAACAAGAAGAGAGATTACAGCAGTTGTTGGAGGGAAAAAAAAGAAACAAGAAGAAAGATTACAGCAGTTGTTGGAGGAAAACGAAAATAAACAAGAAGAGAGACAACAGCAGTGGTAACTGGAACAAGAAAAGAAACAAGAGGAAAGTATCCAACAGTTGAGAGAAAGCCAGCATACACAAATGGAAAAGATTAGTAAATATCAAAGTGAATTAAACAGATTAAAGGATGATTTGCTGTCTTTTAAACAAAGAGGATATATTAACCATAGACCTAATCAGCCTGCAAGAGCTGGTACAGGATTTGGAAAGTATGGCACACAAGGCCTTCACAACTGCACCACCCGATGTCCTCAAGCTGTTGCTGAGGGATCAGTTTGCAGATGCTTTGGACAGTACACAACTGAAGATACAAGTAAAGCAAGCACACCCCTCTACTATGCAGGATGCAATGGCCAGAGCTCTTGAATTCGAATCCTATATTAAGTCCAGCACAGAGGTACCAAGGTTGGTACAGTCATCAGGATTCAAGGCCAGAAAAGGGCAGCTTTCAGATAAGTTTGACGGACTTTGCTGGTAACAAACCAGGGCACAAGAGATCTCAATGCTGGCAACTTCAACGCAGGGAAGATGCCACGGCAAGAAAGGCTGCTACCCAGAAAGTTTGTTGGAACTGTGGAAGTCAAGGACATATGATGAACCAGTGTAAGAAGAATACTACAAATAAGTCAGCTTCGGGAAACCAGTAGTGATTGGTGCTGAGGGACGCCCACCAACCCCCATTGCGAATGTCCCAACAGCTAAGTGTAAAATGGCTAGAACACATAGTGTCTACGTGACAGGAAAGCTGGATG